AAATAAAGGAGGTTTTAAATTGGAAAAAAAAATATATTTTGTGCAAATTTTTTTTCTCTACAACATATGAAAATTGGGAGATGGCGTTTTCTTGGTATCGAAAGCTACGAGTCGGAATAGGATGTAAAACTGAAAAAAACCCACTATTTTTACATAATCTCTATGTATTTTACAATATCGAAACCATCCGGAGCCGCTTCTGAAGGCCCCAGAGGGCAGCCACAAATATCCCATATGCTTCAAACGTTGAAACTTTGCTACAAAAGTTGTACTTTACTTTCATGATATTAACTATTTATTATTCAACAGAGTTTCAAGATGTAGTCTTCACTCTAACGTTTTTTACTTCTTGAATTTGGAACTGTCTCCATCTTGTACTTGTTAAAATTTTGGTTGGATAAGCAAACTGAAGCCTGACTCGTTGTTTTTCTTTGAATTTACGTGCTGTAGTTCCCCAGAAACAGAGAAAGTTTTAGGAAAAATCTTAATTTAACAGATATCCAGGTAAAGCAGTGAGTTCTTAGACTTCTTTGCGACTCCAAACTGTATGCTAGCTACATAGTTTTGACAAAAGAAAACACGAGAAATAGAAAACGTTGGAGTGAAGGCTACATTTTTCTTCTCTGTCGAATAGTAAACAGTTAATATTATGGAAGTAGACTACAATTTTTTGTAGCAAAGTTTCAACGTTTAAAGCAAATAAGATATTAGTGGCTGCCCGCTGCGGCCTTCAGAAGCGGCTCCTGATGGCTTTGCCTCTATAAAATACATGAGATTACTCTAAAAATAGTAAGTTTTTTTTTTCAGTTTTACACCCTATTCCGGCTTTTAGCTCTCGATACCAAAAAATTACCATCTCCAAATTTTGATATGTTGTAGAGAAAAAAAATCTGCACAAAATGTGTGTTTTTTTTTAATATTCGTTTGAAATTTTGTTTTTATTTAAAGAATTAAAAGAATAAATATGCATTTAAAAATTCAGTACATGAGAAATCCGATAAACAAGAAAGCATTGAATTCTATTCAAAACGAGCAAAATTACAAGTCTATAAAGATAGGCATGTCAAGTGGCAAC